TTCCGCATTCTATTGGGTCACCTCTCTTTGGAATGGGCATAAACATTGATCTCTTCCAATCAGTCGGCCAGACAGTTGTCTTCCAAATTTCTTGGCAGAGATGAGTGAGTGCCTCCTGTGCCGCCTCACTTTCTTGAAAGATTTCAATTTTTATTCCATCAATTCCTGGTGCCTTGTTCTTTGCCACTTCTTTCAATGCACTTTGGACTTCGTCTCTGAGTATCATTGGCTCTTGTTCATATGGTATCTCTTGAGATGGTTGAACATTAAGCATTTCCTTTTGGTACAATGATTCTGTGTATTCCGTCCATCTTTTCTTGATGCATTCTTGTAGTTGTATGGATATCATCTTATTACATACAGTGTTGTACTTCAAGACATACCTTGAAGTGTTCTTTTTGATAATGAGTATGATGCCATTCCTCTTTATTTTGTGATTCCCATCATAGTAAACCATGAGATTATCAGCTCACTAATGCCTAGGATATCAATGTTTATGCGTTCCATTTCTTTTTTGGCAAGTTACAATTATCCTAGATTCATACTTCATACATGCTATGTTCCAATTATTAATGGATATTTGCAGTTATTTCCCCTCATTTTGAGTAATGTCCTGTCAGCAGATGAGGGTCCTGAAAGCATTAATCCACTGACGTTATCACAGTCAACTCCACTTTGAGGAGGCCGCTCTTTCCCAGTAGTGTTTTGAGTGAACCTGAGGGACTCATCTTCCAGTACTATATCTGACAGTAGTCTGTGCTATTTATCATGCTTAAATATTCAATATTCTGGTGCTGTCTGACAGTGTTTCACTAGTATTCATAAGGTTTTCAGTGGCTAACCATTAGAAAGTAGTCCACTTTTCCTTCTTCTGAATCTTAGTCTGGAAGCTCACCTGAAACCTGTCCACTGTGGATGACCCTGCCAGCAGTCAAAATACTGGTGGCATAGCTTCTAGCATCATAGCAACAAGTAAACCACTACAGTGCGAATGAGTTTAGATGGCACCCAAGCATGCCAAATTTGCATCAGGGGAGGAGAACATCTAAATACATCTCTAGGGATTACATACTAATTGGACAGCCATGTTGATATGCCATATAGGAGGTACAGAGAGCAAGTAGGGCAAGGGACAATGAAAGGGTTCGATAAAAGATAAAAAGAAGTAATACAAATGGAGGGTCCCCTGCAGTAAGATAGAGTTCTGGAAAAAAAAAAAAAAAAAAAGATAGAGTTCTGGGTTTCTTCAGCCGGCCATCATCTACCCTTAAAGCACATATTCTATCTGTGTCCATTGTTGTTTTTTGCAGTTAAGTACCTTCTAGTCAGTTATGATTCATAGCGACCCTGTATAGGGTTTCCAAGGTGTGGCTGGTAGATTTGCACAGTCAACCTTGTGGTTAGCAATCCAGTGCTTATCCTCTGGCTTCACAGCAGGACTCCATTGTTGTTATTGTTATCATAGCGACCTTGCATAGGGTTTCAAAGGAACGTCTGGTGAGTTTGAACCTCTGACCTATCTGCTATCTTAAAGATTAACAGTCTCAGAAAACTATGCAGGTTTGTTATGAGTCTGTACCGACTCCATAGCACATAACTCCCACCATTATATTGTATTTTATCCTTTAAACAAATTTTATTAAACATTCGGGCTATATATTCTGTCATGAGTAATGTTCACTATTTAATCTGATTAGCCAAGTTGATCTTCACTGCCAAATAGTTAGCTAAGTCAGACTTAGTATCTGTCAATAAGTCTGATGTAATTTTTTTAGATCAAATTAATCTGCTCGTATGCTCCTTTATGGCAACCATCTCACTTACAGATTTTTAATTATCTATGCAGATAGGATGTTGTTAAGTTCCATCAAGCTAGTTCAGACTCACAGTGATCCTATATAGGGTTTCTGAGGAGCGGCTGGTGAGTTTGAACCGTCAGTAAATAGAAGCACCAATAACCAGCCATATTGGAAGAAAAGGCACAAAACATTGCCAGATAAAGTATGTTCTATCTCTTCAGTTTTTCTTGTTTTGCTCCTAAGGTGTCATCCCTGAGGAACAACGTAATCTTGAGTTATCTCCTTGCTGTATATTTTATGCTCTGGATATTTTTATACAATGGGCAATGCAACATTATAAAGTTTGGGATGGGTAAGAGGTATGCTTTATTTTTGTACAGTAGGAATAGGATAATTTTGGGAAGGGAGAGAGGAAAGGATAACTGGTAGATTATTAGGAAGGTGCATTATTAAGAAGAAAGCTTTAGGAAAAGGTACATATGGAAGTTGAGGATCTGATAATAGGCTTCCTTTAAACTTCTATGAGGGAGCTTCAGAAAGTTCATGGAAAATTCCGTTGTCTTTCAATTCAATTTTTTTCCAGGAACTTTTTGAAACCCCTCATATATCAGCATTACCATGAAAGTCTGTGCTTATGTTATATTGAATACTGCCAGTATGGGTTGTGACTATGGAATGACATTGGAATAACGTACTGTGATCATAAGATAAATTGATGTGGCACACAGAATATATTTTTGGTGCTCTGGTGAGCACACCGATTACTACACTGAATGGTTTAAAATTAAGAAAGGTGTGCAACAAGGTTGTATATTTTCACCATACTTATTCAAACTGTATGCTGAGCAAATAATCCAAGAAGCTGGGTTATATGAAGAAAAAAGTGGCACCAAGATTGGAGGAAGATTCATTAACAACCTGTGATATGCAGATGATACAACCTTAAAATATTTACTGATGAAGATCAAAGAGCACAGCCTTCAGTATGGATTACATCTCAATGTAAAGAAAACAAAGACCCTCACCACTGGAACAATAAACAACATTCTTATCAATGGAGCAAAGATTGAAGTTGTCAAGGACTTCATTCTTCTTGGATCAACTATCAACACTCATGGAAGCAGCAGTCAAGAAATCAAATGACGTATTGCATTAGGCAAATCAGCTGCACAAGACCTTTTTAAAGTGTTGAAGAGCCAAGATGTCAGCTTGAGGATTAAGGTGCACCTGACGCAAGTCACGGTATTTTCAATAACCTCATATGCATGTGAAAGCTGGGCAGTGAATAAGGAAGACTGTAGAAGAATGGATGCTTTTGAGTTATGGAGTTGGAGGAGAATATTGAAAGTGCCATGGGCTGCCCATAGAACCAACAGATCTGTGTTGGAAGAAGTGCAGCTCAAGTGCTCCTTGGAGGCCAGGATGGCCAAAGTTCATCTCTCATACTTTGGTCATATTGTCAGGAGGGACCAGTCGCTGGAGAAGGATATCATGTTTGGTAGGGTGGAGGGTCAGAGAAAGAGAGGAAGACCCCTAGCAAGATGGATTGGCCAAGTGGCAGCATCAATGGGCCAAAGTGTGGCAACAATAGTGAGGTTGGCCCAGGATCGGGCAATTTTGTTCTGCTGTGCATAAGGTTGCTATGAGTCAGTACCGACTTGATGGCACCTAACAACAACAACAATGTAGGCCATCGCTCATGTGACTCTGTGCTTGATGGATTAAAAGCTGCCCTGGGATGAGCCATCTCCATGATCAATTCTGTACTGTATTACTGTGGTCCATAGGGTTTTCACTGGCTGGTTTTTTGAAGCAGATCATCAGGCCTTTCTTCCTAGCGTATTTTCTGCTGAAATCTATTCAGTATCATAACAATATGTAAACCTCAACTGACAGAGAGGTACTGGCTGCACTTTAGGTGTATTGACTGGGAATCATATGCCAACACACTCTTACATATCTTATATTTCTAGACTGTTTGAGGCAGTGCAATCAGGTGACTTAGCAATTGTAAGAGAAGAAAGAAAGGGGGTAAGAATAAGAAAAGGTTATACAAAAGAAAAAGAGAATTGCTGCCTTCAAATTTAAAATGAGCAAGATGAAGAGTTTGAAATACAAAAGATAGGAAAATCTCCAGGTATTTATTGAGTTTAGTAATACAATGGTATGGCTGGTTGTAACATCTGTTTCTTGAAACTGCATTTTGGTCTGTTGATTGATGGATAAGAGTTGTTTATCACCTACTCCAGTAACATTGATGAACCATTATTTACATACAATAAAGAACATTTCTATAAATTAGATTTTCCTATAACTGGTGAATTTTTTAACTGAAAAACTTTTCATTTTGAACATAATATGCAAATAAAACATTTCTGCCTTTAAACATTTTTTACTCTGAATAATTTTGGTTTCACAAATTAGTTCACAAGGATGCTATAAAATGCTTTGAATAAATGTATCAATATTGACTTAGCATTATAAATGCAATATATATGTATATATATTTTCTTTTAAAAATTTTTATTGTAATTGAATGAAGGTGTAATATATTTTTAAATATGCAAACTTACTGTATGGGATCCATCTTTTGTATTTAGTTAACAAAGTACAACATTAGAATTTGTCTGATGAGCATTAGAAGGACTTTCTACAAGGCAGTTTAACTGTTTGCAGATTCACTTAAATACACGATATTAAATTTATTCCCATTATTGCACTACCTTATTATGATGATGATTATTTAACAAGAATCCATATTAGAGATGAAGTTCTGTATAGCACAGGAGTAGAAAATACAGTCTGTGACTATAACAAATATTCCAGCAAAGAAGCTGGGAATAAAAAGCCGTTGGTTACCTTCCTGTAGAAGTAGTAGCAATCTGAGTACAAGTGATTCTAGTTTCAAAACTGTATGGTAGATGGTTTTATGGAACTTGCAACTAAAAAAAATGCACTTTAACATTTCTTTCTTACTGGCAGGTGTCCCACTGGCTTGCAGCCAGAGGCTGTGAGCATAGTGCAGCTGGAGGTGTCCCCCAGAGCGCTGGAAATGCCAACACTCCAGCTGGCTGCTCATAATTGCACCAATTGTGGTCTGACAACCAGAGCACCAAGAAAGCAGTGTGATGAATATACAACAATATTTTACAAATCTGATAGGGTTACAAATTTCATGTCTCTTTTTTTTCTCCCCCATAGATATGATATCTGCACTTATAAAAATAAGCCCTGTGGAACACTGGGTAAGTTATTTTTTATAAAGGAAGAAGAGTTTAGAGCATATATTTGGACTAATAGCTCTTATTTTCTTTATTTAATTGGTCATTTTTCTTTCTGGTACATCTGAAATTACCAATATAAATCATTAAACCTAACCCTGTGGATGTATCATTTGCTAGGAAATATGTATGTTGTTGTTGTCAAATGCTGTCAAGTTGGTGGGACTCATAGCAACTCTGTATAGGGTTTCCAAGGAATGGGTGGTGGATTTGAACTTCTGACCCTATGAGTTGCAGTTCAGTGCTTATCCTACAGTACCACACCAGGAAATACATATGTATTATGTGAATTTAATTGGTTTTTAATTAAATAAACTAATTTATGATTCAAGATCATCAAGCAATAATTATAAATCAAAAGTTGTCACTCATTTTCATATAATGCATTTCTGTAATATATTTCCAAAAATATCAAGAAGTTTGAAAACAAATGAAAGCAACTAGCATTTTCAAATCCAGGCTAAAAAAATACAATAACCCTTTGCTGTCGAATGGATTCTCACTAATAGCAACCTGGTGGGACAGAGTAGCTGCCCCGTAGGGTTCCTAAGGCTGTAATCAACATGAGTAGACTGCCACATCTTTCTCCCATGGGGCAGCTGGTGGGATGAAACCACTGACCTTTTAATTAGCAACTAAGTGCTTAACCAGTGTGCCATCAGGGCTTCTTAGAAAAGGGAAAGTGGGGTAGCTTTGGGACTCCTTAAGAGGAGGCAACAGGAACATAATTCTTTTAGTATGATTTTGTGGAAAAAGTATCCCCCATAAAGTTAGGTTTTTACAGCACCAAACGACAAACAAAAAAAGATAATTATATGAAATATTATAACCAGAGGTAGAGAGAAGGGAAAGGATTATCTTTCTTGTGTACCCCAAATATAATTTATGTTACAAAGCATTTGTGTAGTATTCTAAAAAAAATATCTAAGGCCCATTTTGTTATATGGCTTAGTCTATTGGTGGGAAAAAATGGTAACTTTCCAGTAGATTAAACAAATTTAGCAACGGGTTATTATAAAAAACAGAAACTGTTTACTTATTGTAAATTCTTTGCTTATCTAGCTGAGAGAGTTCACATAATAAAGAATTGATTTCCAGTGTTTTAGGCTAATAGGACTAGAATAATCCAATGGAAGGGGCCATAAACCAGAAACTCAGAACTTTTGAGTTTTGAGATTTGAGAGTTTCAGTGCATTACCTTGTACAATGTATTTAAGCTCCTTGTTCCTCAATTTTAAAATCTAAAAAATATGACTAGTATTTGCCTCGACACTGCAGGGATATTGTTAAAATTAAGACAGAAAATATAAGTATTTAGTATACAAGTTACCATAAAAATAAGTTTGTTTTTATTTAAGGTAGAAATTATCTGTACTGTTTGGTTTGCAGTCTCAAAAACTGTTCAATTTCTGTAAACATTTTCAAAATGGTTAAGCAATTTTAAATACAATAAATACAAAGCCTCAAACCAAGTACACATATAAGCAACAACTTGCATTTTTTCTAGTGGGAATACATATATACTTTTTATATGTGTAAATATGTGTATACCACCACCCAGTTAAGATAGATTGGCACAGTGGCAGCAACTATGGGCTCAAGAATAGTAGCAATTGTAAGATGGTGAAGGTCTGGGCATTGTTTCCTTCTATTGTCCATAAAGTTGTTATGAATCCGAACCTACTTGATGGCAGTTAACAACAACAAACCACCCAGTTGCCATCAAATCAATTCTGGCAACCCCTTGTGTGCCAGAATAGAACTGTGTTTCAAAGGGTTTTCAGCAACTGATTTTTCAGAAGTCAGTCGCTAAATCTCTCTTCTGAGATAACCTCTTGGTGGACTCAAATCGCGAAACTTTTGGTTAACAATTGAGATTGTTAACTGTTTATACTACCCAGATACCCAGAGGCATCTTAGACTAACGACTCGATGATCTATTCTGAAATATCATCCACTGACAAAAATCCTCTGGGACACAATTACGCTTTGACACAAACTTTTTGAAGCCCCCTCATTATAGACTCTGACACAATGTATTCAGTTCAACTCTGCTTTTTATGTGTCAAATATTTATGTTGAGATATGTTATTTATTGTAACAAATGAAAGCATCAAAGTTATGTCTTTACAGCACCAAACGACAAACAAAAAAAGATAATTTTATGAAATATTACATAAAATTATACAACTGCCTACTACTTTCATTGTCACATTGACAGAGGCACTTTGAATAACTTCCCTACCCTTTTACTTTTTTTGCTTTTTATCACAATAATCAGTTCCAACTTGCACTATATCAATTTCTAGAATAAATACATTCATAGTTGGGTACATTTCAATGAATTTTCAAACTCAACATAAATTATCTTTTCAAGTGATAAAAATTAAAATTAGATTTTATACTCTTAGTCAAAACTGAATGAAAAA